AAAAAGAAAAAAGAAAAGCCCTTACTTGAGATATGCTGGCCTCGTGACAGAAGGGGAAAAATGATAGTGGAACGACACAGAGGTGACTCAGAGCTTCTGCTCAGAGGTAGCCCTTGTTATTTCCATTCACACTTAACTAGCCACAGTATGTCATGTGGCAAAATTTGTCAACAAGGGAATAATAATTCTCCCATGGAAACAGATCTCATGGGATGGATAGGTAATATACTATAAATAACATAAGGTACCACAATCTTCAATAAGACTATGAGGATTTTTCCCCATTTTTGTATATTCTTATATTTTATTTATTTACATGCCCTCTAAAACAAGTTAAATTTTACTTTTGTAATTAAAAAATTAATTCATAAACTTATCAGTTGGCTCCAACATCCCACTTTTAAATTATCATCATCCTCATAAGAACACAAGCCCCTTATGTTTGTATAGCACTTTGCAGATGGCAAAGCACCGTCATATACAGTATATTATCCTTAATACCCATTTTACAGATGAGGGATCACAAACGCATCAGCTCATTCTTATCTGTTGTTCTCTGGAGCTTAACTTTGAACAGTCCAACCTCCCTTCTCCCCTCCTTGTCCTCTGGGATCCTTACAGGGTCAAGTTCTCAGTGTTTGGGTTGATTCATTAATGGAAGGAGGGGAAAGGGAGGATAAAGGGACAGAGCCTGGTGGGAAGAGCGTAGATGGAACAGACCTGACCAGGGAGAGGTGACAGGAGCTGAGGGAAAAGGGGCTGGGGGACCTGAATGTTGAGAGCAGGGGCAGGACTGGCCTTAGAGTGAATCAAACTGACAATTGACTTGGGCTCTGGCCTTTACTTCAGAACATTCTAAGGGGCACACATCCCTGAAATTTTGGATCAATTTCAATTGCAAAATACAGCAGAACTTCTGTAAGTTGACCTCTCAGGGGACTGTAACAAACTGGTCAGCATACAAAGGTGGTCAACATAAGGAACTGGGCCTACTTACTGATGTGTACATGTGGTGCATGTCCAGTCCCTGAAAATTAGGTCAATTTAAGGAGGTGGTCAGTGTACGGAGGTGGTTAAATCTCTTCATGTCACACTGCTCATTCGGATAGTCAATTTAGAAAACACTGCCCCGAGAATAAAGGCAACGTGGAAGGAAACCTGAATGGTGCCTCAGACTGCGCTGTCTGCCGGCCCCAGCCGCCTGCAGCTCTGCTCCTCACATGAGCAACCATGGAAACGGTTGAGAGTGAGAATTCTAACACCTGCTTAGCTGTTTGCAGATTTTCAGTTCAAAGAGTAAAAATACACAACCGAGACCAAGCCTCAGCTGAGCCCTGAGAACCTGCTGTGAGAGTCCCATCTGGCCCTACCCACGGACACATCTATGACAGCTGAAAGGAAACCCAATTAAGTGATGATGGCCACCAGTGCAAAACGCCACACCTCCCATGCTAGGCTTTGCGTGAGCAGAAGATGAGAGGAAAACTTAATAGATATTTCTAGATACATAGACTATTTCTGTGAGATCGCTTAAAACCTAGCACCCATCGTTGCCTCTGGGAAGGGGAACAGGCAGCCAGGATTAGGGAACTCACTGCTTTATCCTTTCTACCCTCTCCAACTGGGTGTAAGAAATATCTATTTAGGCAGCACCCACAGCTCAGTGGGTAGGGCGCTGGCCACATACACTGAGGCTGGCAGGTTCAAACCTAGCCCGGGCCAGCTAAAACAACAATGATAACTACAATAACAACAAAAA